ACAGCTCACAGCAACCTCCAACTCCTGGGCTCAAGTGAGTCTCCTGTCTCCGCCTCACAAGTAGCTGGGACCACAGGCACCCGCCACAACGCCTAGCTATGTTTTGGTTGCAGCTGTCGTTGTTTGGCAGGCCCGGGCTGGATTCAAACCCGCCACCTTGGGTGTACGTGGCTGGCACCTTAGCTACTTGAGCCACAGGTGCTGAGTCTTGTTTGATTTTTCATTTACATTTTCAAACAGCTTACCATAATCTCAAATGAAATATTACTTTCACACCTTGGTCTACCTTTTAGCTTACAGGGGGTTTTGAAAAAATATTTTCCAATTTCCTAATAAAACTATATTCTATATGGTTATACGTGGGTCATTATGAATTTTTGAGATATGCAAAAATCAAGAAACAAAATCTGCACAGATAGAATCAAATGAAACTCTCCTAACAACATCAATAAGCTGAGCAACTTGAAACTTTCACAAGTGAATTAGAAAGGACACTGTTGATTGTGTTTCTTGGAAGTGAAATAACAGACCATAACACTAACTCAAAACTTTCACAGTGATCTACATACTCCACTTAAAAAAAAAATCAAGTCAGGCACAGTGGTTCTTATCTACAATCCCAACATTTCGGGAAGCCAAGGCAGGAGGATCATTAGCTCAGGAGTTCAAGATGAGCCTAACCAACATTGCAAAACTCCCAACTCTACAAAAAAAATTTTTAAACTAGTCAGGTACTATGGCTCACACCCGTGGTTCCAGCTACTCAAGAGGCTAAAGCCGGAGAATCACTTGAGCTCAGAAGTTAGAGTGAGCTATGATCACACCACTGCACTCCAGCCTGGGCACAGAGCAAGACCCTATCTCAACAAAAAAAGAAAGAAATTGGGATAAATGGTATATAAAGTATGATGCAGCCAGGTGCAGCAGCAAATCCCTATAAACCCAGTTACTTGGGAGATGGAGGCGAGAAGATTGCTTAAGCCCAGGAATTGGAGGCTAGCCTGGGCAACAGACTAAGACCCCATCTCCAAAAAAAAAAAAAAATGAGTTTAGTATTGACTACAAGTGTTTGTTTCTCCATTCTTGTAATGTTTCATTTAGAAGAATGGTTTCTAATTTCCTCTAGGTTTTCCAAAAAGATACTAGATCTCCACTTTTTACTGCTGAATAGTATTCCATAGTATGCACATACCACAGCTTATTAACCCATTCACATATTGGTGGGCAACCGATTGTTTCTACATCTTTGAGACTGTGAATTGTGCTACTATAAATATTCTAGTGTAGGTATCCATTTTATAAAATGACCCTTTTTCCTCTGTGTATATACCTAGCAATGGAATTGTTGGAGCAAATGGTAGATCTACTTTAAGTTCTTTGATGTGTCTCCATATGATTTTCCATAGAGGTTGCACTAGTTTGCAGTCCCACCAACAGTATATAAGAGTGCCTTTCTCTCCACATCCACGCCAGGTTGGGGACTTTTTAATATGAGCCATTTGTATTGGAATTATGTGATATTTCACTGTGGTTTTGATTTGCATTTCCCTAATGATTAGAGATGTTGAACATTTTTTCATCGGTTTCTTAGCCATTATGTATATCTTCATTTGAAAAGTTTCTGTTCATGACTGTTGCCCTCTTTAAGTGAACATATGGAAGTAAATCTCAATGAAAATCAAGCTGGAGGGAGGGGAAAAAGGAATGGGTAAAATCACACCAATTGGGTACAGTGCACACTATCTGGGTGAAGAGCACACTTGTATGTGTAACTTTGACTCAATCTGTACCAACATAAAGTATGTAAACAAAACATGTGTACCCCTAATATTCTGAAATTTAAAAAATCATTTGAAAAGTATGCTGTAATTTTATGTAGAAAAAAAGAGATAACTTAGAGAAGACCAGTGGATTTATTTATTTATTTTTTTTTTTTGCTCTGGATTAATTCCCAGATACATTTAGTGGTATATTTCCCAATATTTCTTAAGTCAGCATATACCAAACTCATGAGGAAAAGAAAAAATCTGTCAGGCCAGGCACGTAGCTCATGACTATAATCCT